ATGTATGGAAGAATGTCCTAGAAAGAGAAACGTCTCTGTCTATTTTAGCTATTTTTAATTGATTATTTACTGTTACTGATGGATATTATGTTAATTTGTGATGCAGAAGGGGTTGAACCCTGACATGAAGAAAACCATTCTGAAATGAGCTGTTTGGCGAAGATCTTGGTTTGTTCCTTTCCTCAATATTCAGAATTGGGACACTGTAAACCTGCAGCCTTATCAGTGGACATTTTCTTCAGAATAGGTGTGAAAAGAAAATGGCTGACTCTCACCAATCAGATCAGTCAGAGGCTTGATATGATTGTGTATTTGAGTTGATGTGAAAATGGCTAATATTGTTGCGTTCATATCTAAACGAAATAAAGTTGACTTCTAGCTGACAGCATTACAAGTTGTACAAAGACACTGTTCCTCATTTATCAACCTGTGAGCATTGAATTTCATCTCATGATGTCCTCTCATTTCAACAATAAACAGTAGTTTCACCTTTGTAATAGCTCTGAAATAAGACTAACTGAGTGTTGTAAATCACTGGCTGTTATTTTAAGGAATAAGTATTACATATGGGAAATGGCCTGTATTTGTATAGCGCTTTGTGCCTAAGGACCCCAAAGCTCTTTACACATCCAGTCATCCACCCATTCACACACACATTCACACACTGGTGATGGCAAGCTACATTGTAGCCACAGCCACCCTGGGGTGCACTGACAGAGGCGAGGCATGACATTTAATAACTATTTAGTTGCCATACATATTGCTCTGTGAGTAAGTTCAGCCACAGAGAAGAAGTGTGCAAAATATTTTTTGCGACTTTAGATATTTTATAGACATATTCACATTTTATTCTTCTACGTCTCACATTTTTACCACATTTACCTTCATAGATTCAGGTCAGCAGTTTATTTCCATTGTACACTGTTCTTTATGCTGAATGTACTCCACCATGGATTGACAGCTGATGCAGAAGGTTGCTGGAAACACTCAGTTAAAAACACCCTCTAGCTTCCTTTTTCTTTCTGCAGGTGGAGATCATCTCTGTTCTGGGAATGATTATCTTTCTC